AGGCAGAGGACCCCTGAGTCTGGAGTTATAAACAGGCGGCAATGATGGCGTTTTTCCTCCTCTGACTCCATCCTTTCCGGCCTAGAGCCACCAGTGACCATAGGTGGCTGGTTCGGGACTCCGACAGCGGCGTCCGGGTACGTCTTCAGTTGCATTTCCTCTGCACCCCATTTCAGCATCTCTTGCCACATGTGGCCTCTAGGGGGGCTTTGGTCTGGGCTCCTCTGGACATAGCTTTAGAGACTTCTCGCAGCTCTTCCTCACCATCCTGTCTGCTGGAAGTCTTCATTAGCAAGTCCTGGAGCTCTGTGGGTGTAGCTTCTAGGCTGACCATTGACAAGGCTCTAGGCTCAGTCTCCAGTAATGAAAAACTAAGGGGCAGGGCTATTGTCTTGCCCTGTATCCTTTTCAAATCTTCAGTCCATGGGAGAACTCCCAGTCTGATGGAGGGGTGGCCAGACATCCGGGGACAGAGAGGTGGGACTAGAACAGGAGTTCTTAAGAATGTGTGGTTTTTGTTGTTGTTTCCTGAGACAGGGTCTCTTTATGTAGTTGTAGCTGTGCTGGAACTTGATATGTACATCAGGCTGGCTTTGAACGCAGAGTTCCCGCCTTCTGAGTGCTGGGTTTGAGGTTGCGTGCCACCACACTCAGGAGAGCGGTGACTTTTTTAGTGGACAATCTCTATAAAGGAGCAGAAGTGAGCAAGTCGGGGAGTCTTTATTTTCTCTTTGCTCTTGACTGTGACCTTCCCAGAAATAACGGGTATGATTTGATACTGCAGCCAACCAAACCATTCTCTCGCCACAGCTGCGAAGTCACAGAAATGAGCCAGGACGCCCCGTCCTCTATCCGTCCATTCACGCATCCTGCACGCCTCTTCTGAGCACTGACTGTAGCCTGATTATGCTGATTTCCCGAGCACAGAGATGAAAGACCCCATTCCTGCCACATGGTACATGCTATACCCCTTTTTCTAGATCTAAGCTCAGGAAAGCTACATTTTCACTGGTAGGGACTGAATTAAGGACTTGGAACATGCTAGGCAAGCATTCTACCGATGAGCTATCCTAAACCTAGGAAACTTATTTATTATGTTAAAACAACAAGATTGAAATCTTTACAGGTTTTCCACGACACAGGACAACAACAGGATATCCAAGAGGAGTCCCATTGAGAACCCATTATCAGTGGCATAGCAAAAGCCAGAGGCCTCAAGCCAGACCCATGACTCTTGCAAGTAAAGACAAACAGACTAAGGGGGTAAACTGTGTGATTCAGTGGTCCACACTACAGCTTCTATGACAAGATTTTCCTTCTGTCTTTGTTTTGTTTTTTCTTTCAAATTTGTTGTTGATTTGGCGGTGGGGAGGCTGCAAGGGCAGAGGGCAGATCAAAGGGATGAGGGGATCAGAGGGATCAGAATGCATGATATGAAATCCACAGAGAAATGACAAAAGTAAAAATATGAATAATAGCTGGACATTAAAAGGCTCTCGGCACCGCCTGATTCCCCTTGCTCGCATCTCTCTCCTTCTGCAGGGATGGAGTTGACATCTGCGAGGACCACGAGTGAGACTAAGCTGGTCGTAATCAAGGTGAGTGGTTGGATCAGCAGACCCCATCCATGAATGGACAATTTAACCCCATAGACCTAAAGGGTAGGGGTTCTTTGGATCTTCCTTTACCGAGGCCCAGAGAAGTCACAGAAATGAACCTCAGGATGCCAAGGTGATGAATTTAGCAGACTTCAAGGAAACTGACGCAGACATGTTCAAAGCGCTCGTTTGATCTCATTGAGTACAAGAAGTTAATTTAAAATAGGACAAAATAAAGTGTAAAATTTTAGCTGAAATAAAAAGCTCAAAAAAATGGTTCCCAAACAATAGACTGTATATGTCAAAGATGGGCACATTAGGAGCCCGCAGGCTGGGAGAGATAGCTTAGCAGTTATCAGCGCTCCCTGCTCTTTCAGAGACCAGTGCACCATTCGCAGCCCCCACAACACACAACATTCCTTAACTCCAGCTCCAGGGAGTATGGCACTCTCTTCTGGCCTCTGCAGACATCTGACACGTGTGGCACACTCGAGTGTGGACACACATACATGAACATACACACTAAAGTAAAACTTAAAAACCAAGTCCTAGAGAAATTGGGTTTCCATGATCAGAGCAAATAGCAATTCTTCCCTTATGGAAAATGGAGGAAGCTGAGTGTGTCACTTACAGGAGGCTCTGATAATGGACATAAGCCCATGGGCAATCTTTCCTGATCTGTGTCCAGTTTATGTGGGCCTCTACATTGCTCTGCCTACACATCTAACCCAGTGCCTGCCCTCCCTGTTTTTTTTTTTTTTGGAATATATTGGCTGGAGGCAACTCTTGATTTTTCCAATGGAATATGCAAATTAAATGTACCACTCCAAAAGGGCACAGCCGTGAGCAGGGATGGTGCCATGAGGGCAGTCCCATTCTTTGGTCTTGTAAGACAGTAAGGGTCAGGTGTGTGTGGGTTAGTGAAAGAGCTAGGAGGCAATTAGTATACATCGTGGAATAAGGCGTATACAACATTTTATGGTTAAATGGCTTAAAGTAATGAGAGAAGTAGGTCATCCAGTCTTCCCGGAGAAAGATGTACCTTAGTTCTTACCTAAGAGGTTTGGGTCGCTGAAGTGTAGTATTCTGTTTTTTAATGTCCTGGAAGCTACCTTTGTCTGTGTTGCTCATATAATAGTAGAGGCAGTGATTTTGGAGTCAGATTGTAAAAATGTTCTAACCCAATGAATAGAGAAAAAAATACCAAAGGAAAAATAGCAGCACCTCAGGGGTCTGAAGGCCAGTAAATAACTGACCATCCTTGTAATAGGCTGCCTAGAAGGAAAGGAAGGTGAGGCAGGAGAAAATATATAATATCCAATGTTTGAGAAAAACTCCACTCTCAAGAGCCTCAAGATCTTCAAACACAATACAAAGACCTAGAAAATGTTTTCTGTGTCCCTGAAGTTATCAAGGGTCAGCTCCAGTGAGCTGGAGTTATCAGGGGTCAGCTCCAGTGAG